TTTTCCATATATATCTTAAATAATTGAATTGTTTATCTTTTACAAACATAAAACACAATCATGGTAGTAGATTTGAAGAATTAAAATGTTTGCAATTTGTCTTAAATGTCTTGTTACTCTTGTTGTCATTGCTTTGGCCTTGTCTTAGTTAGAATGATGTCAATGCTGCACATAAGAGATTTTCGTGGCATGAGTCTTGGTTGGAAGAGACCGATCTGACTTAAAAGTCTGATACACGCAGCCATATCTCGTTTTGGAACTGTGAATACTACAAGTACGGACTTGTAATCTAAGGAGTCCTTAAAACTTTGCTATCGGAATAACTTATACAGGGCACCTGTATAGTGCTGGTTCACTCTGCGGACGTGCAGAAATTACCACAGACGTTTATAACATACTTTTTGTATGTGGATTACAAGATATAGAAATGAAAATCAGTGATTGCAAACAGAGTAATGGGGAGTGAGGGAGGAGAGTACCATGTCCTAAACAATTTTATATTGTAAACCTCATTAGTTGAGGTTTTTATCCAACTTTTTTAGTATGTTAAGTTGAAAAAGTTTAAACATTTTAATATCCAAAACTATGATTTTCTGAAGGATATAGTGAATCTTAAATAGTCGGATACTCTTTCTTTATGTTTTTTTTTGTTATTGCTTTCTCATTTTTTTTATTAAAATATGTATATTGTCTCGATATAGATTGAATTATCAAGTGACAACAACCTTCCATTACAAACACGAAAATAAAATATTATTGGCTCACTGCTCGTACACCCTAGTAATGAGTCTATGTGATTTATTCTAGTGTTTTTAAACTTTGATTATCAGGGATTTAGAGATATTAATGTTGATGAACTAATGTTCTCTATATTTGTGTGAGACAAACAACATGAAAATAGTTACATATAACACACATTTTGTATGTAGATTACAAGATATAAGAATGAAAATCAATGATTGCAAAGTAAGCACCAATGAATAAGGGAGGAGAGTACCATTTTCTAAACAATATCATATTGTAAGCCTCATTGGTTGAATTTTTTATCCATATTTTTCGGTATGTTAAGTCGAACAAGTTTAAACGTCTTTAATATCCAAAACTATGATTTTCTGAAGGAAAATAATGAATCTTAGATGGTTTGATACTCTTTCTTTACGTTTGTTCTTATTGATTTCTCATTTTTTGAATTAGAATATTTATTGTCTCGATATAGATTGAATTATCAAGTGACAACAGTCTTCCATTACAAATATGAAAAAAAAAAAAATTGGCTTATTGCTCATGCACCCTAGTAATTTGTCTATATGCTTCATTCTAGTGGTTTTTGAACTTTGATTAGTAGATATTTAAATATACTAATGTTGGTCAACTAAGGTTCTCGATATTTGTGCGAGACAAACAACATGAAAATAGTTATTTATAACACACATTTTGTATGTGGATTACCATATATAAGAATAAAAATAAATTATTGTAAATTGAGCAGCAGGAAATGAGGGAGGAGAGTAGTATGTCATAAACAATACCATATTGTAAGCCTCGTTAGTTGAAGTGTTTATCTGTCTTTTTTAGAATGTTAAGTTGAAGAAGTTTAAACATTTTAATACCCAAAATTATGATTTTCTGAAGACAAATAGTGTGATATTCTTTCTTTATGTTTGTTATTATTGTTTTCTCATTTTTGCTTTCATACGTTTGTAATGTTTGTAAATCTGTTTGTATGTTTTGTCGTTGTAGTTTGTACTGTTTGTATGTTTTATGGTTTGTACTGATTGCAAGTCAAGTTTGTATACTTTATAATTTTCCATAATATCCAAACTACCCCTGTCATTAATTAAATAGCCCTTCCCACTTTTTAACCATCAGATTGCTATATCCAAATCTAAGGGCTGGGAGGGGCTTAGTCAAGTGACTAAGCACCCCCTAGTCACTGGATCTCTCTCCAATCATGGGGCCACTAATAAAACCGACCCATGGATGGACAGACACATATATCAACTTCATTCAACTAAAATTTAACAATTCACAAAGGATGATGAGATACCCAGTTTTGTTACCTCAATTTTGATGTGGCTATGACCTCCGGACTCCGGCGTAGTCAAGGAATCGCCGACGGTACAGTTAGGGATGACAACAAAACCCGAACCCACGGGTACCCACATGACCCAACTCGATCAACGCGGGTAAAACCCGTGTTGACGGGTTTTGAGCCGGGTTCGGGTTTAAACCCGCTACACTATTCACCGGGTTGGGTTGGATTTGGGTTTAGGTAAACCCGCCCCATGGGTACCCGCCCACACATATAATTACTTTCCCGGTATATTTAATATTTTAAATAATATATTTTCTTTAAACAACTAATATTATTTATGTTTGTGGAGACATGTATAATTTTTTCTTTCTAATTGTTTAGAATGAAGTTGATATTATTGAGTGGAGAGTGAAAAAACTTATTTGACGAGGAAGAAGATTTCAATTAATCTTGTTGTTTATAGATGTTTATCTTTAATTTTGAACAATTTGTATTGATCATTTGCGGTTTGCTTGTATGTTTTAGATTGGTGTTTTTTGTATGAATAATTTGTATGAGAAAATTGATGTTAAATTTTTATTTTGAAAGAAATTTGTTATTGTAAATTTTTTATCACAAAAACCCACAGGTACCCATAAACCTGTGGATACCCAGCGGGTTGGGTTTGAGTTTTTCAAACCCAACGGGTTTTACCCCGAGTTTTTTTGGCAGATAAACTCATGAGTTTGGGTTTCACGAAACCCGCCCCAACCCGACCCATTGCCATCCCTAAGTACAGTTAGATAAATCATAGAATCGTCGCTACAGAGACAACAGCGAAGAGAAGTGAGGGAATTGCTCCAAAAGTCGAGACCTTTTTGATCAATGACTGTCCCACATCAACCGTCCGCCATACCTCTCAAGGATTTGACACAGCAGATACAACGATAAAACTCTGATTTAGGTTCTCGTCGTTCCCTCACACATATATATCCTTATCTGTTAGGTTAAAGCTATAATCACAATCTGATCCCATTTGATTAGAAACTGTCATATTTATACCCCAAATTGAAAAAAATTACAATCTAGTCACCAAAACTTCCGGTTCGATGCCAACGGCGATGTTGGCCGGATATGGGTTTCACAAAAAATCATGAACCAAAGAGAGAGAATTCTTGATTGATTATCATTTATCAGGCAAGTGAGAAAAGGTTTTACAACTTATCCTGCTGGAGGGTAGTGCAGGTTAGAGAAGAGAGACAAGAATGGGTGGGAAACATCCAACGGTTTAATAAGCTGAATCGCTATTCGTCGCCCTAAAATTTAAATTTTATCGCCCTAAAACTCAACAAATTGACATATTTATCCCTCAATCCAATTTCAATTCTAACCCTAATCAAACAATCCTTCCTCGCCCGCATCCCACATCCGCCGCACTCACCAGAAAAAGAATCGTCCCCTCCCCTACTCCTGGCCCAACCCCAATCCCAATCTGCTGCCGCCGCTGCTACTCGAGCGCCGGCGAGAAGGAGGAAGAAGAATCAAGCCGGCTGCCGCTGCTGCTACTCGATATATGTGATCATTGTTTTTTCCAAAAAAAAAAAAAAATGTGTGATTGTGCACTTATTGAGATAATTGTGTTATTATGAACTCTTAGTTCTTCCGTTATGAACTCTTTACTGCTGCTCACTAGCTGCTGCAATTTTTCGTTGAAAGCAAGTCATATTTGTAAATGAAGGTCAATAATCGAAACAATGTAGTTTGTTTCTTTCCTTGTATTTTGTTATTTAGTGTAGTATATGAGTATGCTTTGGAGTTTAAGTGTGTGAAAAAAATAAATGAACTAAGGGCATTTAAGTACATTCAATTTAATTAGGACGACGAATAAAGAATTTTAGGGCGACAAATAGCAATGCCCTTCATAAGTCATAACTGACTGATTGGTTAGTTTTCAAATGGTACTTTAACTTGTTGTGTTTTACGCCAGACTAATCCTAGCTAGCAGTATCCTGTGTTTGAGCCAGCAAACTGAAGAATGCTTCTATCTACCACATCTACAAATGGACCTTTCCACATTGCCCTTGGCATCCATCCGACATGCAATATTTCTATCGATCTTCCAAATCAAAAGAAAAATTACAAGCTTCAAAGCACTTTTGGATGCGCAAATTCAAACTATCAGGCAATTGAATCACTTGAGACTTTTGCAACTGGATTCCACTTCCCGTTGCTGCTGAAAACAATAACCTTCTCAATCCCTTATCCGTCTTTGTGAAGACTGAGGTGTCATGGTCCCTAGAGTGAAGGGTAATGCGCTAGGCTGGTTCCACAGAGCAGCGAAGACCTTCCTCTCTAGGCAGTGGAAGGATTGCAGGTTGGTGGCGCTAGGGCTTGCATGGCCTCTCGGGCTGTCCAAATTGGACCATCTCTTTTTGTTCTTCTTTTCACTACTTGGTCACTTAGTTTAGTTCCAGTTCCTTTCTGTTATTTTGCATGAATGCTTTGAAATCAAACATTATGTGAATTTATTGAGTTTTTGTTCTTCTTTTCACTACTTGGTTACTTAGTTTGGTTCCAGTTCCTCTCTGTTATTTTGCATGACTGCTTTGAATCAAACACTCTGTGAAATTATTAAGTAGGTATACGGCTGAACTGTGCACCCGCTTTACCTTAATGCAACAGATCCAGACATCCCTCATAATCGAAAATGCCAGAAGTGTGTCAAATTCATGTCATGACTCATAGTTGTCCAATAGTTAGAACTTAGAACACAACACATCAAATTCAGAGGATGCTGCATCACAGTTTATGCAGCCGCCCAGATTACACACAAAGGTTTGCCATCCTAGCTAAACAAAGCGCAAGGGCCAGGTTCAGTGTTACAAATAGTCAAATCTCACACATATATTTGCTGCTTCCTTAGGTCATCCAAAAATAAGACCTTCAGCCACCTACTCGCTCCTTCTACAACAACAAACATCCCCTGTTACTGATCATCAGAAGTCCGAGGCAGCCTGAATGAGCCACCAGCATAAAGGGTCTCGTAAACTGGCTTGATCCTCAAGGTTAGTACAAAGCTCACGATGGAGCTGAAGGCAGAGGCACCAGCTAGATGTTCCTCCATGTCATCGAGTGTGTTCACCATTACAGATGTGGATACCTCGCTATGGCCTCCAGATTTCCATGGCGTCAGGAAACCGACGAAGTTACGGTAGACAAGTCGTAGCCGCAGAGACAACAGCGAAGAGAAGCGGGAGTGCTGCTGCAAAAGTCCAGATGTTTTGCTCAATGGCTGGCTCCATGGACGATCCGCCGCCGTAGGGCAATTGACGCAGCAGAGAGACACAGAAAGAGTTGGAATCGCAGCAGAGAGACGCATAAAGACGCGATGCTAGAAGGCCCAAGAAAAAGAATAATGCACCAATTGGGCTCCCGAGACACACGAAGTTGTAAAAGAATGCTGACGTGATCCGTAGTGTTCGAGGGATCAAACTTGACCAACAAGAAAAAAGTTCATTCATCAGAGTTGAGCATTGCAGAGCAGTGCGACCCCTTTGATCACAGTGGAATGCTTGTATGTATATGCCGATTTAAATAAGAGCTCCTTGGACGAAAAGGAAATGGGAATGTTCAGAAGGATCATCACTTGAAGACTGAGGACAATCTCTCACGAAGTACATCACTGCAGTACACAAAACTGGAATCCCAATTGCGAGAAAGATCAGGAGCATGGAGAACGAACCGTGGAGCAAGACATGGTATGTTTCAGTGAACACTGCTTCACTGATCCCTCCATATCCTTTGATGACAATGTCGATGTTGCCTTGATCGAGATGGAAGTTCCTCGTGTTGGTTACAATCACCGTCGTGCTAAACCAACCACTGCTGTTGCCTGTTAGTAGCAACGCAAAGAACAAGCCATATCTGTGAAGACAGCCCCAAACTTACAGACTAAATTGGGTCTCTCTTCAGAAGGAACCGCAGAGTCTGATTAACTTCATGTCGAAATTTCAATGAACACGGATAAAGTAAGAACATAGTGATTGCAATACAGGCTACATAATCCTTCACGAGAACAAATCATAAGTCAAAATGACCTAAGTCCCCCACTCGGCAATAAACAGAAGGCCGACCCACAGCTAAACGCACCAGCAATAGTTACATTCATTCATCCACTTACATTGACCAAGCTATCTCTATAGTAATGGACTCCGGATGGGAGACAATCTAGGATTAAAACTTTCATGCCTTGAGTAGCAGGGTCGAACAATAGCAAATTAGTGTCATTCTGCTCCTCCGTCCGATCTACAGTACGAACGATAATCTGCTTGTTCCTCCAACATCCAACCGCCACCAAATCTTTTGGAATGAAAGGACCAATAGCTAAATGTTTGATCCAGCACCATTGTTCGCTCAGTAGCCACATATCAAATCCACCAACACCACTACTCCCCTCCTGCATAATACATAACGCAAGCGAATTCTTGTACAGGAAAAGTTGCTTCATCTCTTTATCATATTGTCCATTAAAGGTGACTGGTATGGGGTCGTCTATCACACGGAAAACATCACTCCGAAGATCGAAAGCCAGAGCCGCAACGGGAGGTGCACATAACCAAAAATAGAACCCGTTCAAGTACCTGTAATCCTTAGTGAATCCAACTATCTCGAGTGGATGCCGGAACTCTTCCAAAACCCTCCAAGTACCAGTGCCCAGTGTGTACACCATCACTTGTGAAGGAAACTCAGGAGATGACCAACAGCCTGTACTTGGTTGCTCTCTAGGGTAGTAAGGCCAGTCGCCAAGGGGGACTTGCCGAATCACAACTATTTTGAAATCATCAGCAACTGTATTATGCAGCCCAAACCCAAAGCTGTCAACACCAAAGGAATCATTGGCGGTTCTGGGCAATGGTATTTTACTAGACAACGAGCCAGTTGCTGGATTCCACAGGAACACATGACCCTTAGTCTCCCTAAAGCCCAGCAAATATATGCCATTGCAGGGTCCGGCAAGAATGGGCATTATGCTGTCCAGATAACAGATTTGAGATACATCACCATCAGGATCAAATTCAAATTGCACTATCTTTGGCTTCAAGTAACGGTTGGAATCATAGACCATGAGGGTCTGGTAGGCATCACCGGCTGGGCCGTTCGTGTAGTTCTTGAGGTGGGTAGAAACTAGATAGGGACTGGAAATTATGGCATTCCAGCGACTGCAAACCGACTTGAGCTGGCATAGGGTTCTCACGGGCAGCCGAGACAGAATCTCAACCACAACATCGTCCTCCAAGTCATCGAGTCTGTTCGCCATTAAATCGATTCAATCAACCTAAGGCAATCCCGGAGCGACTATAGAAATCGAGCTACGGACGGCGCAGATATCAACTTCAATCGACTAAAATCTAACAATTCACCAAGGATGATGAGATACCCAGTTTCGATACCTCAGTTTTTGACACGGCTATGGCCTCCGGACTTCGGCGCCGTCATGGAACCGCCGACGGTACAGTTGATAAATCGTAGAATCGTCGCTAAAGAGACAACTGTGAAGAGAAGCGGGCGAATTGCTCCAAAATTCGAGACCTTTTTGAACAAGCTGCCGTATCTGATCTCTCAATGATTTGACACGGCAGATGCAGAGATAGAACTCTGGTTTAGGTTATCTCCGTCCCTCGCACATATATATACATATCCTCGTCTGTTAGGTCACAATCGGATCCCATTTGTTTAGAAACTGTCATATTTAAACCCTAAATTAAACAGAATTACAATCTAGTCACCAAAACTTCGGGTTTTCCAACTTATCCTGCTGGAGTGCAGTGCAGGGGAGAAGAAGAGAGACACACGAATGGGCGGGAAACAAACATCCAACGGTTTCATAACAGACCGATTGATCAATTTTCTAATGGTACCTTAACTTGTTGCATTTTACCAGACTAATCCTAGCTAGCAGTATACTGTGTTTGAGCCAGCAAACTGAGAATGCTGCTTCTATCTACCAAATCTACAAAAGAACCTTTCCACATTGCCCTTAGCATCCATCCGAACATGCAATATTTCTATCGATCTTCCAATTCAAAAGAAAATTTACAAGCTTTAAATCACTTTTGGACGCGCAAATTCGAAAGTAAAACTATCAGGCAATTGAGCCACATACTTTTGCACCTGGATTCCACTTCCCGTTGAGGTAGCTTCTGCTGGTGAAAACAATAACCTTCTCAGTCCCTATCCGACAGAGAGAGAGAGAGAGAGAGAGAGAGAGGAAGTAGAGACATGTCAAGTGACCTATAGCTTCAAAGTGGCAGACTTTACAGTACCACATCCTGAAACTACAGATATAAATGCTATTTATATTCATTTACGAAACTGTTGGCCTTCGCCGAGCTCAGTAACGAGAGCTTGTGATCCAAGTGGAGGCGTTACTGAGATGGGACACTGGGTCAGCCTCAAAGGTTTGGCTCTGGTTGCCAGATCTGACTTGCCCGTTCCAAACCAGGAGTTGGACCATGGTGTCTTTGTGAAGACTGGAGGTGTCATGGTCCCTAGAGCGAAGGGTAATGCGCTAGGCTGGTTTCACAGAGCAGCGAATACCTTCCTCTCCAGGTAGTGGAAGGATTACAGGTCTGTGGCTCTTGAGCCTACATAGCCTCTTGAGCTGTCCAAACTGGACCATCTCTTTTTGTTCTTCTTTTCACTACTTGGCTACTTAGTTTAATTCCAGTTCCTCTCTGGTATTTTGCATGAATGCTTTGAATCAAACACTCATAAAGTTATCGAGTAGGTATACAGCTAAAGTGTGGCTCCTGCACCCCCTTTACCTTAATACAACATATCCAGACACCCCTCATAATAGCAAACCACAGAAGTGTGTCGAATTCGTCTAATGACACATAGTTGTCCGATAGTTAGAACACAACACATCAAATTCAAAGGATGCTGCATCACAGTTTATGCAGCCACCCAGATTACAACAAAGGTTTGCCATCCTAGCTAAACAAAGCGCAAGGGCCAGGTTCAGTGTTACAAATAGTCAAATCTTACACACATATATATGCTGCTTCCTTAGGTCATCCAAAAATAAGACCTTCAGCCACCTACTCGCTCCTTCTACAACAACAAACAACCCCTGTTACTGATCATCAGAAGTCCGAGGAAGCCTGAATGAGCCGCCAGCATAAAGGGTCTCGTAAACTGGCTTGATCCTCAAGGTTAGTACGAAGCTCACGATGGAGCTGAAGGCAGAGGCACCAGCTAGAACCAAGAAGGTTAGCCTGAAGCAGTCTGGACCCAAGCAAGAGAAACCGGAACTGTGCAACATACTATTCGATCCGCGCTGCTTGGCTGCCTCGGTATCATACACGTATGCTGCTAGGAGGCCCGAGAAGAGGAATGCGCCGATAGGGTTCCCTAGTGCAATGAAGTTGTAGAAGATACCGAAGTGCTTCAGCCCGAAAAGCTCCGACACTGTCGGGAGCATGACAGAGAATTGAACACCGTAGCAGATACCGAGCAGTGCAGTTGCTATGTAGAGAGTTCCATCTATGGCAGATGCATAGAGGAGGTATGTTGCAACCATCAGTGCTTGAGCACATGTGATCCATACTGTTCGAGGGATTGTTCTCGTCCTGCAAATGGAAGTTTATAGCATTACACTTTAGGAACGCAATATAAAAAGAGCAGCACTATGTTCAATCGTAGCATTGCTTTGATGCTGTTAACAGACCTTACGAAATGTTCAGAGATCGCGCCTCCACCAAGACGCCCTGCAAAATTGCAGAAGCTGAAGAGAGACAACAGGATCGTGGTATCATGCATTCCTTGTGCAATCCCTATCTGAGCCAGGTTGTTGAGCACGGTCACGCCAGAGCCAACTCCCACGAAATAAACAAAGAATATGAGCCAGAAATCAGCTTTCACTACAGCTTCACTGAAACTGAAATCCTCCCCCCTTCTAGGCTTCCTCTTCTTCTTTATTGCTCCTTCCCCCTCAGCTAGAAGCATTGCCACCTCAGATCCATCGTCGCATTCCCTAAAGCTCTCACTTATGGTTGTGGACGAAGACGTCTTCATCAGCAACGGCTCAGCTTTCTCCAAGCTCCCATCCCCTTGCACCAAGGAGTCAGTAGAGGACACCCGCTCGCCGATGGACACTGATTTGCTACTCCTCATTCGAACAACAGTCATTTTAATGGGAACAGCAAGAGGAGCCAGAAGGAGCGCGAACAGTATCACCAGAATAGTGTAACAAACCACAGGGTTCAGGTTCAGCAAGTGATCAAGTATAGTGCTCGCCAGGACATATACTCCAAGCACCACAAGAGCTCCTTGGATGAAGAGGAAATGAGAATTTTCAGAAGGGTCATCACCAGATGATTGAGTACAAGCTCTCACAAAGTACATCACTGCAAAACACAGGATAGGAGTCCCAACTGCAAGGAACATGAGGAGCTTGGAGGAGGATCCATTGAGCAAGATGTTGAAGATTTCGGTGAATACCGCTGCACTGATTCCTCCGTAGCCTTTCAGAATGCCAGCGACTGTACCTCGGCTGAGAGGGAAGTTCCTCATGTTAGTCACTAGCACCGCTGTGCTTAACCATGCACTGCTGTTTGTAGCAACGCATAGTGCTAGCCAGAGCTGTGAAGAAAGGTAAATTTTAGCAAAATTTAATGCTTTGATTAGGTCTTTGCAGATCTGGATCTGCAAGTTTATTAACTGCCAAGTTGGACCATCTCACTAAGAAGAATAAAGTGAAGCTCCCTATCGAGGATTGATGCAAGTTACACAAACCCATTTAGTCAATCAAACAAAACAGTAGACAATCTTAGCTTAGCTTCATCTCGATTTACAAAATACCTGAGCTCAAGAAGAACACCCTTTTCAGATCAAGTCCTTCCATCAAATGGATAGGCGATATTGACAGTAAAGCTTGGAACTTCACACCATGGGCATCACAAAGTCTGATTTGTAATTAGCTTCTAGGTTGGAAAATGTCACTGTTTAGACTACATACTAAAAAATAAGCAACCCCGTCTAACCAAAAAATCAAAAGCCCCACCACGAACGTGCATTTGATATCCCAAAATTTACACATTCTGAACACAGATACAAGTCATTTCATCAAACGGGTGGTGGGCACCCGCAATAAAGTTCAGAACTTTACACACACACAAAAAGAACTAGACAAGAAAACTCACCACCCAGTAGGGCAAGGACTCAACGGTGCGGCTAAGGGAGAGCCAGAGGACGCCATAGCCAAAGAAGCAAGCCAAAGATCCGACGAGGAGAATAACCCACGGAGGCAAGTAATTGCAGGCGATTCCAGGGATAACCCCAACGTTCTCGCCGATATCATTGGCCACTCCAAGCATGGAAAGCTGCTGCTGGTTGAAACCCAGCACGGATTTCAAAGAATGGGAGTAAAGCGGGAAGTTGTAAGCATTCCCCGCTGCGATTTGGACCCAGGCCGCCGCCCCGAGACCCACCCACGGCGGCCTTGTCCCTGCTTTCAGGGTTGTCTCCGCCGCCGCCATGGCGAAATCCGACGGAAGGAGCAAAAGAGAGAAGCCTGAAAATGTTGGGGGAGAGAAAGTGGGGAGGTGAAGTGAACCCTCCTACTCCTTATTGTTCGTGCAATGAGGAGAGGATTCAACTTGAGACTGACAAAAAAGCACTACATCCGTACCAACCCACTACTCTAAACTACTGCTTAGAGGGAAATTGTTGCTTAAAGTTTTGATCTTTTCTTTTTCTCCTTCCTCTGTTTTCCTTCGCCCTCACGTCCTCTGTTTTCGTCTTTCTTCTTCCTTCTCCTTCCTTTGTCATTTTCATGGAAGCCACGAATTTGCAGGCTTTTGGGTTGTTCGGTGTTGTCGAGTGTGCAAACAAAGAGATCGGTGGGACTCGGATTCTTCCGAATTTGTACGGTTATCAAGGAAGCTTCACCATATGCAAGAGTTGTGATTTGTTGAGTGTTCTTTATGATTCGAGCTCCAAAGTATAAACTATATTTTCTTGCAAAGGGTGAACGTTACTAGAGGGACATACGTCAAAACAAGGTGCGAGAGTGGCAAAAGTGTGAAAGCCAATTTAGCACCGTGAGAGCCTAATTGAGACGTGACCTTTTTTAATTAACTTTGTTGTCATCTAACTTGTTTCTCCGTTTGCACTAAAAAGGTAAATCGGTAAAAATCGCACATTAGGATTATCCCGCCCAATATTGTACCTTAAATCTTAAAGAGTAAACTCGATGTCTTAACATGTTCACAAGATCTATCCTGTCCAATATTGTAAAACTTTTGAATACTAAGG